TAGTCTCCCTCCCTTCTTTCCCTCTTCTGTAATAGGTTTTTGTGCCTTTTCCCGTAATGTAATTTACCCTTGTCTGCCTCTTCCTTTCCTTTTCTCTCAGTACATTTTCTTAGATCAGATTAATCCACTTACTTGGATCTATTTAACCCACTTGATTAGATTTTTTTTTTATCATTACATCAAAGTCAGCTTATACCTACCCCCTTTATCTATACTTCTTTAACATGATGTAATAACAATACAGTTCTCAAGGGTTACAAGTGTCATCTTCCCTTGTAGGGATGTAAACAGTTTGCCCTTATTAATAACATTTACCTTCTTATGTTTCTCCTGAGTCTTGTATTTGAAGATCAAATTTTCTGTTAAGCTCTGGTCTTTTTATCAGGAACATTTGGAAGTTCCCTATTTCATTGAATATCCTTCTCCTCTCCTGAAAGATCATGCTCATTTTTGCTGGGTAGTTGATCCTTGGTTGTAATCCAATCTTCTTTGCTTTATGGAATATTATATTCCACGCCCTATGGTCTTTTAATGTAGAAGCTGCAGGGTTCTGTGTAATCCTGACTCTGGTTCTATGATATTTAAATTGTTTCTTTCTGACTGCTTGCAGTATTTTCTCTTTGACCTAGTAATTTTGGAATTTGGCTACTATATTCCTTGGTGTTTTCAATTTGGGATCTCTTTCAGGAGGTGATTGGTGGATTCTTTCGATGGCTATTTTACCTTCTGGTCCTGGGACCTCAGGGCAGCTTTCCTTCATGATTTCCTGAAAGATACTGTCGAGGCTCTTTTCTTTATTGTGATTTTCAGGTAGACTAATAATTTTTAAATTGTCTCTCCTGATCTACTTTCCAGGTCAGTTGTTTTAGCAATGAGGTATTTTATGTTTTCGTCTATTTTTTCATTCTTTTGTTTCTGTTTGACTGATTCTTGCTCTCTCAAAGAGTCATTAGCTTCCATTTGCCCAATTCTAATTTTTAACAAATTGTTTTCTTCTATTAGATTTTGTACCTCCTTCCCCATTTGGCCAATTGTATTTTTTAGGGACTTGTTTTCTTCAGTGTACTTTTTTTCCAGTTGGCCAGTTGTATTTTTTTAAGGACTCTTCTGCCTCTCTCATTTGACTTTTAAAATCCTTCTTGAGCTCTTCTAAGAAGGCTTTTTGGGCTTCAGACCAGTTCATATTCCCTTTTGAGGTTCCAGATGTGGGTTTGTTGACAATGTTGTTCTCTTCAGAATTTCTACCTTGATCTTCACTGTTCTCATAATATGAATCTGTGGTACGTTTATTTTTGCTCATGGTGTTTGCTTATTTCCTGGCCTTTAAAAAGATTGAACTCTCCTGCTGGAGAGCAGAGAGCATTGACCCAAGCTTCTTGTGTTGGGAGCCTTGGGCCTGGTCACTGACTTTGTGTGCTGGGGCCTCCGATGTTGGTAGTTGGAGTCTGAGGGTTCTGGTAGCTTACCTGGTGTTGAGCTGGAATCAGCAATACTGGAGCTCTAGGAGTAGGATTGGGTAGTCTGGCCCCTAGAGGTTGCCTACTTTTCCTTTCCTTTCACTTTCTTCAGCTCCTTTCAAATGGATGTTGCAGGATATTTATCCACCTGGGGCCCCTTGGAGCCCTTCACAGAGTTTTGCTGAGGCACTGAGAGACTGCTGTAGAATCCTGAGGCACCTGGTGGTTTTCTGAGCTGGTTTCCACAGTTTCCCCGCCCTTACTGAGGCACTCGAGGGTCCTGGTGTTGATGTTTGCCTGCTCTACCACCTGAGTTTCAGGATCTCCTCCTGGTGTGCTAAAGTGGGGCTTTCTGCGAGCTTGCTGGGATGCCTCTGGTTCCATATTGCTCCCCTTCCCCCAGGGCAAGAGGGGCTTTTCCTGTTAATCCCTCAAGCTACCTGGGCTACTGGACTGCTGCACCCCATCTTTCTTCTGGTTCAGCTATTCCAGGGTTTTTCCTAGGGTGATATTTTCTGGGCTTTCAGAGGTTGAGAGAGAGTAAGAGTGACTTACCTCTTACTCCACCATCTTGACTTCCGGAAGCCTAAACATTTTCTTGACATGTAACTGCAGAAAAAAATAAAAGACTGTTCAACTTAAAAAAAAATAAACTACATGCATAAGAAAAATTGTGAAAAGGGGGCCCCAAGCTTTATATTCAAGGCTTGACTCCCTTCCCACCAAATACCAGTTCCATAATGAACACATACAGCAAAAAGTAAAGAAATTAATTTATCTAAATTGATAGCAAAATAGAAATCAGAGAAAGTATACGTAGGAGAATGTATACCAGACAATATAAATTAGTTCTCCCATTGGGAGCAAGATAGCTTACTTCAAGTGAAAGTCCTGGATCTCATCCAGAGGGAAATTCACCAAAGGCTCTGATGTGGCAAGCTAGGAATAGGGGCATTATAGAGACTGGCAGTTCCTCTCATGTGGGTTTCTTCCCAGAGTCTTTCTCTTTCTACAGTGATCTGAAGAGAGGTTGGCATTACGCAGCTTCTCTATCACGCTGGAAGCTAAAAGAACCCAAAGAAACTGACCAGGGCAGGTAGGTGGCAAAGTGGATAGAACACCGGCCCCGGATTCAGAAGGACCTGAATTCAAATCCGACCTCAGACACATAGCACTCACTAGCTGTGTGACCTTGGGCAAGTCACTTAACCCCATTGCCTAGCCAAAAAAAAAAAAAAAGAAAAGAAAAAGAAAGAAGCTGACTAGACTCTTCTTTCCCACTTTCAACAACTCCGCCTGCCCTTCATGCAGGTGTGGGGCATTGAATAATCAATCTCCATCAATGTAAGAGTCTCTGCAATTGGCCCTTCAAACCAGGGTTACTTTAATACAAAACTAGAAGAAAGAATAAAAATGAAAAAAGCAAAGATGTGGCATGCAATTAGAGTTGCTTGAACTTGACCTATTTAGTCAGTGAGTAAACATTAAGCACTTACCATGTGCCTGGCACTGTGTTAAGTGCTTGGAATACAAGCAAACTAACTAGTCCTTGTTCTCAGGGAACTCATAGGCTTGTTGGTGGTGGTGGTGGTTTTTTGTGTTTTTTTTTGGTGAAGCATTTGGGGTTAAGTGACTTGCCCAGAGTCACTCAGCTAGTAAGTGTTATGTGTCTGAGGCCGGATTTGAACTCAGGTCCTTCTCAATCCAGGGCCCGTGCTCTATCCACTACGCCACCTAGCTGCCCCTAACTCATAGTCTTAATGGAAGAGACAACATGCATACAACTATGTACAAATAAGCTGTAGTGTAGGATAAATTGGAAATACTCAAGGAAGGCACTAGAATTAAGAGAGATTAGAAAAGACTTCTTGTAGAAGGTGGGATTTTAGCTAGGACTTGAAGGAAGCCAGGGAAGCTAGGAGGCAAAGACGATGAGGGGGGACATTTCAGGAATGGAGGGATAGCCAGTGAAAATTTCCAGCGTCAGGAGATGGAGTATCTTGTTTGAGGAACAACAAGGAGACCAGTATTATTGAATCATAGAGCACATGGCAGAGTATAAGGTGTAAGTTTAATGTTGAAAAACGGGAAATGGAGGGGAGAAATGACTGACCCAGATTAAAACAATTTCTTAAGAAGTTTAACCAATGTAAATAATATGTTTTAATAAAGAAGCCAAAGGAGCCTAGAAACTGCCTCATTCAGCAAAGAATTGATCTCTTTGTCACATTAAAGGTGATCCTCCTCTCCTCCCTTCCCTTCCCTTCCCTTCCTTTCCTTGGACAAGTTTATCACATCGTTCTCTCCCCTTAGCTTTTTGTCCCTCTCATAACACTGAGGGGGGGGCTGATTCCCTCATGCTCTCTCCCAGAGATCACTGCTGTTTGTTCCCATCAAAATGGACATCTCCTGACTCCCTGCTTTATTGATAAATATCTTCGTTTCTATTGATGGTATAGTATAATGGCAGACCATAATCAGAAGTTGTAGCATTTTCTGTTTATGCTCAGTAAGCTCCCTATGTCACATTTTTATTTACAAGTTTTTAAATTATAAACTTCACTATCAACAAAAACTAACATTCAAAATAAATACAAGAACAAAAAAATGGACATGGAAGCATAAACTTATATAATTTGTAGTTTATTTAAAACATTTACAAATAAATACTTAAACGTTAGTGGAATTGTCCTGTTTGTTGCTATTCCCCCTTATCAATATCTTTTCTTACCTTTCTGGATTTTTGTCAAGATTGTGGTGTTATTATTTACATAATCATAGTCAGGAAGGCAGTGTGGTATAGTCAAAAGAGCAGAGACTGCAAACAAGACCGGAATTGAATCTCATTTCTGACAAGTGTGACTTTGGGCAAGACACTTATCCTCTTTGAGCATTAGTTTCCTCATCTATAAAATATGATTAATAATGCCAGGAGTACCTACCTCATACGGTGGTTGGGAGCATCAAATAAAATCGTGTCCAAAAGTCTTTGCTGTTTTGAGGTACAAGCTTAAAACTGTACAGAAATTTTTGAGACACCTTGTATAAAGTGATTTGCAAACTGTAAAACATTATATAAATGTCAACTATTGTTGTTATTGTTTTTTTCTTTTCTTTGCATTGCTTCTGTATTTCTTATGTTTTTCTGTTACTTACATTTGTCATTTCTTATAGTGTAATACTTATAGTGTAATTTCACTGCATTCACGTTACAGTTTGTTGAATTATTCCCCAGTTGTGGCACACAGATTGTTTTTAAAACTTGTTGTCATAAAGTTTAATCACTTTTTGATTTCTGATATCTTTGATCATAATGGATTATTTTTCAGATGTATTTCTGGTTTTGACTTGTTGATATATTAACTTTTAAATTAATTAGTGATATGCTCTATAGTCTTTTTTCTTTGCCTTATTGTTATTGGGGTTATGTCATCTTTTCTATGTTTTAAAAAATTGAACAGTTTAATATATCTTTAGACTTTCTGTTTGACATGAGAGAGATTCTGTAAATAGCTTGTGTAATTTTGTTTGCCTTTTCAATAGGCATGACCCTAGCAGAATCTCTCAATCTAGATTCTCTTAATGAATATCTTAAGCGTCTTGAAGAAAAATATGAAGAAATTAAACATCATATGATGGTAAAATACATCCCACACATGAGAAAGGCTGACTTAGATGAAGAAAAGATCCAGGTATTACAGAGGAGAGATATAGCTGAAGCAATCAACAACGATTTACGATTTCGGTATTAATTTATTCTGTAAAAAGTTTAAAATGTGTATTATTGCTATATTTAATATCACATGGTTTGAGACCTAGTACATTGATTATTTGTATTTTTATAGTCATAGAAAAACAGAAATGGTTTTAAGTGCATTTTCTACTTGGATACAATCTGACATGAGCATTTCTTTTCAAGACTTCATAACCCAAATTAGTGAAACTCAGAGACTTTTACAAGGTAACTAATGTTTTAAAAAATAACATAAATCATGGAAGACACAACTCCAAGGCAATGACTTGGTCATTTTTAATTGTCGAAAGCTTAGGAATGGGCCTAAAATATGCTCCAAGGCCACAGAGTTGAGTTTAGCTTTGCCACTAATGTCTGTGACAAGTGAGCCTGTTGCTTTAACACCTTTCAAGTAATTAGTAAATAATAGTTATGGAGGAAGTGACCTGAGGAGAAGATGACTGGAATTGTATTAGATCAATAAAGAGGGAGATGGTAGGGAATCCATGGGGCCAGTGATGATATGCCGCAATTGCAGTATGAAATCCTTGAGTTAAATATGTCCTTATTGGGCTATACATAGGAGATGACAGGTTTCCAGGGTTAAATACATCTTTAAACATCTGTGCATGTTTGCACCATTTCAGATGATCAAGCACTTGTTGAGGAGTTACTTGAAGAAGACCCGAGCAAGGCAAAGGAAGCTGAAGTGTTACTCGACTACATCGAAAGGCAAATAGAAAACAACTCATGTGCAGCCAATTAATGGGCTATTATTCAGTTTTGAAACTTTAAGCTTTTTTTCTAGCTAGCAAATTAATGTTTTATAGAATATTTATTTTTAAAAATAAATCAGTGCAAAGAAATTGCCAGACCAAGATCTTAGATTTTTCAGGATTGATATAATGTTAGTGCAAGTGGGTTTTGCTTGGTTTTATTTTTTATATTTTTCAGCCCATTCTCCAAGCCCCAAGCCATCCAGAATCCTACTGTCCTGGTTAATACTGCTGCTTTTCTCATCGTGCTCAGGCCTTAATACTTAAGAAGACACATTTCTTCCTAAAGCCTAATTAATGTTCTTGCTGAATAAGAGGTTTAAAGAGATCATTGACTAGTAAACTCTATAAAAATAATGAACAAATGTGGGCTAATTAGCTAATTAAAATATGTAAACCTCATACTGTAAGATGATGTTAAGGATAAATATCATTTAGCTGTTTTTAGCTGTTAACTTACTGAATGCAAAAGCAGGAGGAAAAAAAATGATGTTGTATTACTTGAGTTAAAATGTGTTACTCTCTTATCTCTTATCTTGCCTTGGATGCCCAATTTGGGATATGAGAGAAAAGACTTGTTTTGTGTTACCAGCTGTTATTATCATCATCGTCATTATTATTATAATTACCTACCCTCATACTAGGGGATTCCAACATATATATTTGTATATACATATCAAACTCCATAACCCCAAGTTCCTCAACCTACTCATTTCCTTCCCACTTAAGCCACACACAAAGATGATCATGTCTTGATCTTGCCATCACTTGCAAATGTTCCCCTTCTATGTTTATGAACTCTGCGAATCTCTTATCTGATCGCAATGTATTAGCTTTCCATATTTACCTCTGCCATCCAATACCAAACCTTGTTCTTCGTTCACACTGAGACCTCCATTCCTTTGACCCCCTCAGTTCTCTCTAAGGCTGTCACCTCTTCACTAAGTTACCCTTTCCTTCTTTCCCTATCTTGACACCCAGGTAAACCAAGTTTTTAGCTTTACACTGTCCTTTTGAGTCACCAACCTCCTTATTGTATCATCAGTTGTGCCCTACTTAGCCTCAGCCTTTGATCATTTCCACTATCAACAAAGGTAGAAGAGGTCACACAACTGTTCTGACTGGGTTTACTCCAAATTTATGCTACATAACCGCAACTGAGCCTTCAGTGCTACTAGGCAATACTTTTAGACCCTACTAATTAATTCATTTATTTTATTCACCACAGCATCTCTTCTAACCCTTTTCATCCCTCCTCAGACCTTCTATGGGTCTCTCTTCACCAACCCTCTCAGCTGAGAACCTTGCCTTCTATTTTGCTGAAAAAGTCAAGGTCATTTGCCAAGAACTCTCTCTTTTCTCCTCATCATGTACCACTCAGATTCCTTATGCCATTATCTCCTTTTTTTCCTGTCTCACATGAAGAGGTGGCCATTCTGGCCAAGGCAAACCCCTCTACATGTACCTTTGATTACATTCGATCCCATCTCTTTCAGCAGATTGCCCCCTCTGTCATCACCACTGTCTCAATTATCTTAGTCTCTCCCTGTCTATGGACTGCTTCTTTACTGACTATGAACATGCTGATATCTCTTCCATCCTCAGAAAACCCTCACTTGATCCTTTTTTTCCCTATCACCCCATTTCTCTCCTGCCTTTTATGGCTAAGCTCCTTGAGAAGGGCATCTAAAATAGGTGTCTCCACTTCTTTTCTCTTCTCCTTTTCCTGACTCTATACAGTCCAGCTTCCAATCTCATCATTTACCCGAAATTGCTCTCTCTTTAAATATGCCAGTAATCTCTTAGTTGCCAAATCCAGTGGCCTATTCTCAACCCTCAGCATTCTTGACCTCTTTTCAGCCTTTGACACTGTCAGTCACTCTCTTCTTGGTACTCTCTTTAGATCATAAGGAATTCTCTCCTGGTTCTCCTCCTATCTTAACTGTTCCTTCTCAGTTTCCTTTGCTGGATCTTCATTCAGGTCATGCCTGCTAATTCTGGTTATTGCACAGGGCTGTGTCCTGGGGCCTTTTTCTTCTTCCCCTGTACTATTTTACTTGATGATCTCATTTACTTTTGTGGATATCAGTTATCTATATTGATAATTCTTAGATCTAAGTGTACAGCCCTAACCCTTCTGCTGACCTCTACTCAATGTCTCATCTCCAACTGTCCATCAGACATCTGGAGCTGAATATCGTGTAGACATCTTACACTTAACCTGTCCAAAACTGAACACATAAACCTTTTCCATCCTCAAAATTTCCCTTTTACTGTCAAGGTTAGCACCATTCTCCCAGTCCCTCAGGCTGGCAACCTAGGTGTTATTCTCACTCTTTCTAACTCCTATATCTAATCAGTTGCCAAAGTCTGTTGAGTTCACCTTTGCAACATCTCTTGCATTTGCCTCCTCCTCACCCCTCATGCTGCTGACACCCTGATATAGACCTTTATCTGTTCACACCCCTGCCCCCTACTCAGTAAGCTCTAGTGGCTCCCTATCATTTTCAGGAACAAATATGAAGTCTTCTGTTTAGTATTCAGAGCATTTTATAACCTATCATCACCCCCACCTTAACCTTTCCAGTCTTCTTACACCTTACGGCCCCCCTATATACTCTTCCTAATTGCTCTCAGCTCCTAGCATTTTCACTGACTGCCCACTATGTCTGGAATGATTGCTCTCCTCATCTCTGCCTCCTGGCTTCCCTTCAAGTCCAAGCTAAAATCGTAACTTCTACAAGAAACCTTTCCCAGTCTTTCTTAATTCCTAGGTCTTCCCTCTGTGGATTACTTCCAATTTATCTTGTATGTATAGTTTTTTTTTGACCGGAGTTATTTTCATGCTTCTCTTCCATTAGATTATGAGCTCCTTGAAGGCAGGAATTGTTTTTTTTTCCCTTCTTTGTGTCCCCGACACTGAACACAGTGTTTGGCACACAGCAGACACTTAACAAATATGTATTGACTGGTTATTAGTCATTAGTGCTGCACTGTATTAGTGCTTCCTTAGCCTTATTCATAGTTCCTACTGTTGAGCACCCAAGAATATTGAATATAAGGATTAGAAGTTACTTTTACTTTTTAATTGCATTACTGTACATGAGGCTTTATGTTTGCATGCTTCATTATATCATATTGTCTTCCTAAGTCCTGTCAGCTGTTATTAGATCTTTCCCTTCTCTTCTTATTTTTTTTAACCTATCACCTTGTCTATCTTATTGGGATATCTTTTGTCATTGGACTTCCCTGTCATCATCTCTTCTACATATGGTTCATCCTTAAGATTACATCTAAAATTAGAATTTTGTCTTTATTTTTCCCTCCCACTGCTCTTGTCCTTCACCTTCCATTGAACAATTAAAAAAAAAAAACCCTCACAACAAATGCAAATAGTACAGCAAAGCAAATTTATTCATTGACCATGTCCAAAAATGCATGTCTCATTCTGGATTTTAAGTCCCTTTCCACATAATTCATCTTCAGTCCTCTGAACTTGTGGTTTATCATTGCATTAATCAGAGTTCTAAAGACTTTCAAAGATGTTTTTCTCTGCAGTGTCATCATGTGTAAATTGTTCTCAGAGTTCTGCTATCTTCACTGTTTTTCCTCCAAAACTATCCATTTTATCATTTCTCATATTCATCCCTTTTCAACAGTATTTAGATCCTGCCAGATTCTTTTACTTTTATTGAGAGCTGTGTATTCCGTTTAGGTAACTATGTAAAAATATAGAGCTCTTTTTGCTCTGAAAAGAGAGAACAGATATTTAACTATTCATTAGTATCTCATCTGAATTATCATATTACTTAAACTTTCCATTGAGTATTTATTGCCTGGAATCGTAAGTACTAGGATCTTTTATCTCTTACTAGATTTTGCACTCACTTAGTATTCTTCCCAAAGCTGGTCCTCTGGGCAGGAAAAATTTTTCTCTTAGAATATAAATGGTGAAATGGATAGAGTGCTCGCCTCATACTCAGAAAGACCAGGATTCAAGTCTGTCTCTGACAAGATAATACCATCTGTGTGACCCTGGCCATGTCATTTAACCCCTCAATGCCCTAGGCAATTCTCTAAGACCGTAAGTTGTAGAACAAGTACTGATGGGTATTGGTAGACGAAATTTCCTATGGGAATTCTCTGCCAGTAAAATCACAGGTTTGGTCCAAAAATAGTAAATATCTCATCCCCTAAAGATACTGTTTTGAATTAACTTCCATCTATCAGTAAGTCTATCAACTAGTATTTATTAATTGCCTGTTATATGCCGGGCACTGTGCTAAGTGCTGGGGATACAGAGAAAGGCAAAAATGGTACCTGCTCTCAAGGAGCTCACGTTGTAATGGGAGAGACAACATGCAAACAACCATGTACAAGCAAGATATATATTAGATAAATTGGCCATAGTCTCAGAGGGAAGGTTCTAAGATTAAAGAGGTCTGGGAAAGGTTTTTTTTTGGAAAGTGGGGCTTTTTGGCTGAGATTTGAAAGAAACCAGAGAAAAATGAAGATGGAGAGTCCCAGGTATAGCTTACCACTAGTGAAAATGCTGGGTGCTGGGGAACAGAATGTTGTGTACAATGAATAGCTAAGATGTCAGTCAGTGACTGGCCCTAGAAAATGTGGAAGGGAGTAAGATGTAAGAAAACTGGAAAGGTAGGAAGGGGTCAGGTACTGAAAAGCTTTAAAAGCCAAACAGGATTTTATATTTGATCCTGGACATAATAGGGAGCCACTGGAGTTTATTGAGTAGGAAGGGTGATATAATCTTTTTCATTTTGTTTTCCAAAAGTCACTGCTAGTTATTAAAAAAAAATGACAAAGTATCTTGTAAATTCATTTATCACTAGAGATTGTCATCTTAAAATTCCTTAAATAAATAAAATGCTCGGCAACAGATTAATAATAATATTACAATAATAATAACTAGCATTTATATAACACTTTAAGTTTTTCAAAGTGCTTTATATGTGTTATTTCACATTATCTTTGATCCCTACAACAATCTTGTGAAGTAGATGTTATTATTGTCCTTATTTTCAAATGAGAAAACTGAGTCCAACAGCGATGAACTGACTTGTTCAGAGCCATACAGCCAATAGGTATATGATATAGGATTCAAACTCAGGTCTTCATGTCTCCAGGTCCAATATTCTATCCGCTATGCTATTTGTTAGGATTAGAAACATAATATTATAGTGCTTGGATGTGATTGTGATAATACTAGAATGGCTTTTGTTTATTTTATATTGTTTTCTTCTTTATGCTTAATGTGTGTCAGACCATTTAACCAGTTTCTTTTTATTTGGGGGGGTGGACATTACAAAATGTAATGATGATAGGTTCAACGAATTGCTAGTAAATGGTGAATATGAGTCTGCAGCTGTTTTTGCAGTGAACAGTCCTAGAGGAATTCTTCGAAACATAGGGACAATGAGGAAATTTGAGGGTAAAGATTTCTATATGATTTTTTTTTTTTTGGTGAAGGGTGGTGTGGACATGTGATTTCACTGGTAGAGGGAACTCTCAATGAAGATACTCCCTTGACCAGTACAAATTAGCAGTTTGTAATATTAGAGAGATGCCTGGGGTACTGAGAAGTCAAGTGACTTGCCCAGGGTCACACAGCATGTAGCTGTTAGAGAAAGGACTTAAACCAAGGTAGAATCAACTGAGTCTTGGCTCTGTATTCACTATACCTTGCTGCCTCTCCTGGGAATATCATATATGTATAAACATTATTATAAATTCTTTTTCTTTTATCCAAGAAACAGCAAGGTTGTGAACAAGTCACTTAGCCTTTTTGTGTCTAAGTTCCTTCACTGGTAAAATGGGAGGATTGGGCTGGATAATTTCTAAGGTCCTTTATAATGTTAAACTTTAAATTTTAGAGATACTAAGGTGGGTAAAGTTCAATTAAAAAAAAGAAGTTTTAAGCAATTTTGATTTTTGGTTAAGTGTATTTTGTCTTAGAAAACCTATATAAAGCCTAGTTTTAATTTGACATAAATCTCAAAGGTAAAATTTTGGGGACATATGAATATAATCAACATAGTCACTCTTTTTTAATATTTTTTCCAATTACATGTAAAAACAATTTTTACATTCTTTTTTAAAATTTTGAGCTCCAAATTCTTACCCTCCCTTTCTTTCTTCCCCCCTCATTGAGAAGACAAGCAATTTGATATAGGTTATACATGTGCAGTTATGCAAAATTTTCCATATTAGTCACATTATGAAAGAAAACACTGACCTCTCAAAAAAGCCCAAGAAAAATGAAGTTAAAAAAAGTATGTTTCAATTTGCATTCAGACTCTGTCAGTTCTTTCTCTAGAGAAATGTAGCATTTTTCATCATTAGTACTTCAGAATTGTCTTGGATCATTGTGTTGCTTCGATTAGCTAAGTCATTAACAGCTAATCATCATACATTATTGCTATTACTGGGTACACTAGTTCTACTTTTGGTTCTATTCACTTCACTTTGTATCAGTTCATGTAAGTCTTTTCAGGTTTTTCTGAAATTATCTTGCTTGTCATTTCTTATGGCATAGTAGTATTCCATCACAATCATTGAAATCTTTGAAATTTGAAATGAACTAATTTTGGAAATTAGCCTGTTTATACCCATGTTTCGGCATTTGAAAATTGGTTCAGACCTGTAATTTCATTGGTGTAGAGAGAAATCTTGTCAAGTAGGTTTTCTCTACTAATGCAGATTATCAACTTGAGTCTTAGAGAGTTTCTTGAAGTATCTCCTGAGTGGTTAAATGACTTCAACGGGCCCCAAGCCAGGGTAGGTCAGAGTTCAGACTTGAACCCAGGTTGTTCTGTTCTGGGGTCTGCCCTTTATCCACTGGGACACACTATCTCTCTCAATGCCTTTATATTGTCTTTTGGGTTACTTGCAATTTTGAATTTTGTAAGACTATAATGTTACATGACTCTTATTAGCCATTTAGTATATCTAGAGTTACCACTGATCTCTTTTTTAAAAAAAGGATTTTTATTGGTTTCTTTTTTTTTGTTCACCATCAGAATTTGTTTCTCCCTTCTTCCTTCCAGAGAGGCATCCCATATAACAAATAATATTTTTAAGGAAAAAAAAGGAAAAAGAGGAAAAATTTAAAAATAGCAATATATTGAAAAACTATGAAAATATGTGCAATATTTCCCCCACCTCTCTGCCCTCTCCCCTCCTCCCCACCCTCCACAAAGGAGTTGGGTGGTCAGGGGAGTCTTTTTATTTCTTTGGGGCCATTTTTTTTTATTTTGTAGCATTCACTTTTGATTGTTTTGTGGTGGTTGTTTTTTTTTTCATTTACATTGTTGAAGTCATTTTGTACACTGTTTTCCTGGCTCCGCTTTCTTCACTCTTCATCAATGAATGTAAATCTTTCCGTGATTCTCTACATTTATCACATTTACCATTTCTTACAGCACAGTAATATTCTATTACATTCATTATTCATCTGTCAATGAGTTTTCAATTCTTTGCTATCAACGAAAAACTTTTGCTATGAATATTCTGGTATATTTTTAATAGGCACTTTCTTATCAATCACCTCCTTGGAGACATAAGACTAGTAATAGGATCTCAGAGTCAAAGAATATAGACATTTTAGTCTCATTATTTGCATAATTCCAAATTGCTTTTCAAAATGGTTGTACTGATTTACAGTTTTACCAGCTGTGCACCAGGCTGCCTTCTTTCCACAATCCTGCAACATTGACTTGCCATCTTGTCATCTATGTCACTTTGCTAGGCATAAGGCGAAACCTCAGGGTTGTTTTTATTTTTGTTTCTCTTACTATGATTTGGAGTATTATTTCATATGGTGGTTAATACTTTGCAATGTTTTTTGAGAACTGTTTGTCCAGTGATCTCTTAATTGTTAAATATGATGGCCTTTTCTTAATCCTCATCTTTCTTAACTTTTCTGCAGCCTTTCACACATTTCATCACTGTCTTCTCCCGGATACTCTCTCCTCTCTAGGTTTTCATGAAAGTATTCTCCCCTGGTTCTCTTCTTATCTGTCCAGTTGGTTCTTTTCAGTTCACCATGCTAGATTGTCCTCCAGGTCATACCTGATGACTATGGGTGTCCTCCAAGGTTGTGTCCTACGTCCTCTTCTCCTCTTTCTATACTATCTCACTTGATGATCTCATCAGTTCCCATGGTTTCAAATGATCTCATTGCTTTCATTCTCTCCCTTGTGTACTGTCTTTTCCAGCCAAACTGATCTGCTTGTAGTTTTGTGAACTCTGCATTTACTCTTCTGACTCCATACCTTTTCATGGACAGTCCTTCATGCTTGAATCCACCTCAGAATTCCTGACTTTCTTCAAGGCCCAGCTCAGGTGCTACCTCCAATGGGGACCCTTTCCTGTTACCCCAATCATTTGGGTTCTTGCCATTCTTAATTTATCTCATATTTACTTATCACTGCACATTTTGTATCTCCTCAGAGGAATGTAACTCCTTGAGAAAAGGAACTGCTTTTTGTTTTTGTCTTCACATCTCCAGCATCTAACTTAGTGCCTTGCATTTATTGGTTGTTTAATATATATTGGTGGAATTGAATAGTTCAATAAGTTTGATAAGGATATGGAATGGGATAGCATATTTTCAAAATAACTACTAATTTCAAATGTCAGCTCACATCAGTTATGGTATAAATTGGAGAATAAATGCTAGACCTTTCTTGAAAATTGGAGTATTTAATTATGCTTAAGCTATAAAATTTCTTCACAAATTTTATTTTTTTCTTTCATTTATCTATTAATTTATTTATAACATTCATTTTAAAAAATTTTGAGTTCTAAATTCTTTTCCTCTTCCCAGTCCCCACCCTACCCATTGAGAACGCAAGCAATATGATACCCATTATACAGGTGGAGTCATGCAAAACATATTCCTATGTTAACCATGTTCAAAAAAAAGAAGCAAGAAAAGTAAAGAAAGTGAAAAATAATGTTTCAGTTTGCATTTAGGGTTTATTAGTTCTCTTTCTTGAGGTAGATAGCATTTTTCATCATCACAAATTTTAAAAGAACACCAACTAAAGTATGAAATGAAATAAGTAAATAATATTGGCTAAAACATTTAGCTCAATAGTTTTTTTTTTTTTCCCCTACTCTAGATGTTGGTAAAATTAAAGGGAAAACTCTTCCTTTGCTGTTATTCTTTGAGGCTCTTTTCAGTACAAGTCATGCTGCTAAAAAACCTGTTAATGCTCATTTGACTCTGAAAGGAATTAAATGTGGATTATCTGAAAAACGGTTGGATCTGGTTATACATTGGGTCACCCAGCAGAGGTAAGTGAAACAGGACTAAACTTATTTTTTGCATTGGTTTTTAAAGAATATATACTATTCTCCTTAAAATTTTTATTTTCACTTTTTTTTTTTAGGCAATTGGGATTAAGTGACTTGCCCAGGGTTACACAGCTAGTAAGTGTTAAGTGTTTGATCTGAGGCTGGATTTGAACTCAGGTCCTCCTGACTTCAGGGCCAGTGCTCTATCCACTGTGCCACCTAACTGCCCCTTATTTTCACATTTTTAAGAGAATTCATTTGAACCCAGAATTTTGATCACTAAATAATGAATTTATAGCTCTTTATAGCAATATGTCTTTTGTAGCTATTTTATAACTCTTTTCCATTTTAAGTCTTAAGAAGAGGGGAATGGAGTCTTTGCCCATTTGATTTGTTACTGAACAGAAATGATGAAAGCATTTTTAATTATTTTTCATTTATTAGAACTTGGCCTTATGAAAAACTTAATTCAGCATGAATAGCTGGTGAAAAAATATTTAAGTGAAATTTGAAAATAGGAAATTGATTTTAACAACTCTTGGAATTTTGTAGATATAGAATTAGACAATGTTCTAATCCCTGCAACTACACAAGAAGCTAAAAAGATAGTTTTAATGCAGTCAGTAGTGAAGTTGAGAGAAGTTTCAGTTTTGTGAATATAATTTATACAAGGATGATAAATAGTTTAACAGTAAATCACATTGGATTTATTGACTGATTTTTTTGGGGGGAAAGGATTAACAGATTGGGATGGAACTTCATTCATCAAATTCTGGTTACATTACAGCTATAGGTTGGCTAATGCATGCAAGAGTGGAGCAAAAACCAACAAAAGCATTCTGTGAAAATCAGTCGGCTATATGAAATTTACAGTAGAGTATAATGTATTTCATTATTATTTGTAAATTTTGTGCTACACATCCTTTATACCAGTTTAGTTTTATAATAAAATTATCTACATTAAAAAAAATAGAATAGAGGAGAGTACAGAGCTGAATTTATTTACCAAGGAGTCAAGATGGTGAAACCAGTGCAAGGGGTGATGAACTGGGAAAGAATTGAAGGATAGAGGGATTGATGTCATGATGAGGACAAAGAATAGGGTTAGGCAGGGGTTATAAAGTAGAATAAAGATGAAATGATAAAGGAAATTCAGAATTCATGAATATGGAAATTGAATGCTTGTGGGTGATGGCAAAATCAAGGGTATAACAATCTATGTGTAGCTGAAGTGGGTGAAGAAGTAGGTCATGGATAACGAGACAACTGAGGAACTGGAAAGTTGGGGTGTTTGAGAAAGCATCAATCTATGTTAGTACCCTACTGTGAGAGCATGGGTTGAGGACATAAGAAAGGTTGTGACTGTGAGTGAGGCATTGAACTCATTGAGGAAAGAAGTAGAGTATACTGGAGTATCGGTATGTAACAGCTGCCAGAATATTGTTTGGGTGATAACTATGAACTCAAAGAAGGAGAGATGGTAATAGAGGGAGAGTCTGGGAGTCACCAGGGAGGAGCAAGGAGTATTTTGACTCTCTCGTCACAAATAGTGAATTGAAGAGGGAGGGTGTAAGTGAAGGTGCCATTGGTACTAGAAGGAATAGTGAAGCTGGCCATGTCATTAGGAATGAGCCAAGGCTCTGAGTGCGAGAAGAAGGCAGGATAAAGGAGAAGTTTAAAGGTGAGAGCAAGTTTGTTAACTGAAGCAGGCATTCCAGAAAGCAGAGTGGAAGGGGTGGGTTGATTAGAGCAGAGTAGAGTGTTGGTAGGGTTGAAGGGCACAGGAATAAGAGAGCAGGCAGAGGAGGATGCACAACAGGGTTTATACAGTGATAGCCCAGGGTTCAAAATTACTGAGATGGGGGAGTATAGGACAGGGAAGGAGTGTGCTAACTATTGAAGAATGAGTTTAAGCAGATTATGAGTGACTACAGAGGAATCCATTGAGAGAGGAAAGTGGTTAGGCTGTTCAGGGTTCTCCCTCAGTGTACCTTGTAGCAGATGGTTTTGTTGAGTTCCTATGAGGCAGGCAGGAGCAAGTGAAGTTGCAGACTGAAAGAATATTGATGGGAGACAGTAACTATCAGTTTGAGGTGGATATAATTCAGGGTACTAGGTAAAGCCCTAGGACAAAGACAGATGCCAGCGTCCTGGATCCAGGGGTAGCACGGGGTACCCTGGAAAGACTCAGAATCAAGGAGGCTACAGGCAGATAGCTTGGATCAAGAGGTCCCCTGGAAATCCTGGAGTGAGGACACGGGCCAAAAATGGACAGTTTGGGTCCAGGGCTGATACAGGGCTCCCTGAGAAGTCCCAGGATCAAGGAGGCTTCAGACCTTTAATATTTTTATGTGAAATTGTATGTATTCAAATGTAAATAGTTATAAGGAATGTTTAATTGCTTTTACTGATGTTTAAAATTAAATTAATAATAAATCACTTTAACATATATGTGAAACACATGGGTAACCCAGACTCCAATCGCTGAGATGATGGATCAGATTCACCTCAGGGGAATGTCTCAGAATAAACACTTTGGCTCAGACTTCTGACAGGGTTTCCTCTAGGAACATAAAAATCTGACTCATTTTTTTCTCCCTAAATCAGCTTTCAACTTCCCTTCAGATACTGAATCTAACAAGAGTATAAAATGTGAAGTAAGTTTTATTTATCCTGGCAAAATGAAAAATAGGCTTGTGTGCAGGAAGGGGCAGCTAGGTAGTGCAGTGGATCAATATGCCGTACATTGTCCTTATGGTTCTGTTTTCTTGGCCTCATATTGTTTCAGATATATCTTCCCAGCTATCTTTATGCTTTCATAACAATTCACAATAATAATAGTTTGCATTTATGTAGCTTTTTAGAGTTTGCAAAGTACTTTACAATTATTATTTCATTTGATTTTAACAATAACCTTGAAGGGTGGGTACTACCATTATTCCCATTTTACAGATGAGAAAATTGAGGCAAACGGAGGTTAAATGGTCTGCCCAGGGTTAAATAACTAATAAGTATCTGAAGCAGGATTTGCATTCAGGTCTTCCTCACTCCAGGTCCAAAATTCTAGCTATAATGCAATGATGTTAATTGCATTATAGTATTGAAATTTTTTGGGAGGTGCTTTCATTGGTATAGGAAACTCCTCCTGTGGAAACTCCCTCCACTAAGATCAGCAACTTTTCTATAACTTATAGAGAGATGATAGTCTTGGAGAGTTGCCTTGGGTACTGAGAGGTTTTTGTTTGCCCAGGGTCACATTAGCAGTATGTGTCAGGCAAGACTTAGAAACATGTCTTTTTGGCCCTCTGTTCACTATGCCATGCTGCTTCTATGCATTGATATGTTTCAATTTGTAATGATAGCTTGCATTTATGTTGTGCTTCAAGGTTTAAAAAGTATTTTACAAATATTATTTCATTTAATTTTTACAACAACCTTTGAGGTACTATTATTATCCCTATTTTACAGATGAGGAAAATGACACAGATTGCTGTTAAGTGTCTGGCCCAGGGTGACCTACAACCAGCAAGTTTATGAAGCTAGATTTGAACTTGGGTCTTCCTGACTCTAAGTCCAGTATTCCATCTACTGTGTCACCTATTTAGCCACTACTCCAAAGCAACATTATGGTTATTTCCAGTTTTTTGTGATAGCAAATAATAGTGCTACAAATATATTTGAACATATACTTTTTTCTTTTTGATCATATTATTAGAATATTTTTTATTTAAAGATATTTTTCTTGTTTTAATCAGCCAAAATCTGTCTTCTCACCTCCCACTTCAATCCATCCTGCACCCTCCTCCCCACTGAAAGCATGTGTACACACACTCACACACACTCCATTATAAATACATATGGTCAATCAAAACAAATTTCCACATTTGTCATGATATATTTCCAATAATTGGATTATTAGGTTCAGGGTATGATTATTTCACTCACTTTAGGAATGTATGTTCCAAATGTCTCCCATCTGTTTGCACTCCCCCAAGCAGTGTAAAAGTATTTGCTTTTGCAAAGTCCCCTGGCAATATTTTTGCCATTTTAATGGGTATGAAGTAATATTCGAAGGTTATTTTAATTTTTTCTTCAATTCCCAAGTGATTATTTTATTTGGGTTTTTTCTTTTATAAATTCATTTTGTAATAGTAATAGTAAAATGAGTTAAGCCACTCATCTTTGGAACTCCAAACTTGGGGGCTGAGTTGGCTTCATTAGTATGTGAGCACAAATTCATCTAGCTAGTCCCAGACCTGGCTCTGCTTCATATCCTAGCAAGCTACCATCACCCACACCATCTTGCCACCAGTCCTATGGCTGCCCTGCTTCTTCCTACCTTGAATAGCACCCAGCTGGACCTCCAATAATCCTGCCTCCAGACTCTGGGAAAGTTAATCCAATCAGCTTTAGAGCACCTGCCCTGCAGCTGAGCTTCCTTGGTTGGTAAATGAGTGAGGGCAAATTCACTAGCCCTTTATTTCTAGCTATCCCTGTGCTTTACATTTCATACAGCTGTTTACGCCAACCATGTTGCCAGTGGCCCTGCTGAAGCCTTGTACTTTTTCCCACATGAAATGGTGTATTCCATATTGGACCTCCAGAAGCCATGCTTGCTCTCCCCACTCAGTTTTAGAACTTCAACCCTGGGGCTGAGCTGCCTGAGTTAATGAATATAAATTTACCTAACCTACTGTGTCTAGCTGGCCCTAGACTAGACTATGCTTCACATTTCTATCTAGCTGTCTACTTTGGTCATCTTGCCATAACATATTCCTACTCCCCATTTTTTAAATGAAGATCAAATGATAATTGTAAAATGCTTAGTGCAGTGCCAGGCACATTGTAAGTGCTACATAAATGTTAGCTGTTGTTATTATTTCACTTCTTGTTTTGGGAACAGTATGCAGATCAATACTACTGTTGCTTCTGGATCAACTCATCTATACTCATGACTTCTCAGACCAGAACTGCCTTCCATGGCCACCATTCCTCTATATGTACTGTCTCCTTCTATGAGAATGTAAATTCTAGGCCAAGGACTATCTCACTTTTGTTTTTGCATTTCTAGTATTTAGCACAATAACTGGCACGTAGGAGTGCTTAAACAATCATTTTTGCTTCCTTCATTCAGGTCCATTGACCATTTATTGGGGGTTGGGTTTTGTCTGTGGATATTTTTTTATCAGTTTTAAAAATAAAATTTAGATGTTACATTCTAGTGAATCAGAAACTCAACATGGCTCAAAAATATGATGGTCAAGGAACCACATGTGATTTGAAGCTACATTAAGATACTCATAGCTAATATTTACATAGTACTTTAAGGTTTGCAGTGCTCTTTACTAATATCTCATTTAATCCTCACAACTTGGGAGGTAGGTGCTATCATGATCCTCAATTTACAAATGAGGAAACTGAGGCAGATAGAGGGTATGATATGTGTAGGGTAACTCACAGCACGTAAGTGTTTCCAGACAGATTTGAACCAGTTCTTCCAGACTCCAGGTCCAGTGCTCTATCTGCTGTGCTGGTGCCTGCCTCTTCCTTCAGAGAGGAATTGTGTTTTAGGATTAAGGCTATGATACTGTATTCTACTCTGAGCAGATTTATGTTCAAACCTAGGGACCATATTGTAGAATGGAGGTTGGTTAGCTGAAGAAAGAGTCCAGAGGAGGAAAACTAGAATGAGGGGCTTCTACTTCATGCCATTTAAGGATTAATTGAAGAGAGTGAGAATGGTTCACCTGAAGAAGAGAAGACTGAGGGTGGTCTTGGAGATTGAACATAATTGCTGCCTTCCGGTATTTGAAGGATTGTCATGTAGAAGAGGCATGACCCAAGACAGAACTATGGGAGATACCTCTAATTAAGGTTCATGACATAGGGGAATGAGAATCCAGGCAGAAGGATGGTCAGTAGTGTCAAATGCTGCAAAGATCGAAAAGGAAGAGCAAGGGTAAAACTTGAAAAGAGACAAATTTAGGCTTGATATGAGAAAAGATTTCCTAACAGAGCTATCAAAAAATGGAGTGGGCTGCCTTCAAAGGGAGGGGTCTACCCTAACTTCTCTGGCAGAGGTCTTCAAATAAAGGCTGGGCACTTGTAGGATGTGTGATTTTGATTTATTAAGGAGTCAGACAGGATTGGAATTGAGGGCATAAGAAGAGTCATTGTCCTCTTGACAAGAGCCACCTCTTTCTCAGAGACTGGAACAAAGGAAAAGATGCAGACCATGTAAGGAGGTTTTTAAGTGTGGCATAAGAGAAAAGATGGAGTTTGTGGTGGATAGCTTTAATTATTAAAGTAGGATTTTGGGTCTTCTGCTAAGAGGCAAGAGATTAAAAATTGTGGGGAGCTTGAAGATAGAGAAGGTTTGTAATAGCTAACTCAGAGAGAAGCAATTGAAATTAGACAACATGATTTTGTACTGGGCCTAGTTAACATTATTGCATAAGTTCCTCCAGAAGCATTCAATAGCAAGAGAGTAGGAATAGAGAAGGCAAGACAGTGGAGTAACCTAGAATTGAGATTTGGAAAATGATGGAGGTATTGTAAGCTTGAGGGTTTTGCAAGGCATGACTGGGATTTAGAAACCTTCCAGCAATACTGGGAGACAGCTAACATTAAAGAAATATCAAGGTCTTTGAATTCCTTTCTTCTGGCTTGGGTGGAGCTGTAGCTAGCTCACCTTATCTTCTGACACTGGAAAGCTGTTTATTAGAGCATGAACTGGGATTCTCTTGTTCAGCCTACTTAAGAACTATAGCTAGTTCCTGGATACTGTCACTTACAGATGCTGATACTGTATATATACTCCTTGTAGATATGACTAAATTATTATTAGAGTATAATTTATAGAAAACTAGGAATCGGAGTTAATGTCTTTTGAAATTTGATGCATTAATTCTAAAAAACTCCAACTATTTATTTAGCTAACATAATTATAAAGGCAAAATTACTATAATTATTCACTTAACCTTAATAAAACAACTCCTTTAAAATCACATGGGATTAAATAAAAACCCATGTTTATTGTCTTACCTTCTGAAACAACTTCACCCTGAGGTAGACAAAGAAATGGTCATTTTTCTGTTGCTTCTTTATCGCTAGCAGATTTTTTAAACAGTACTTTTTTCTTTCTTGTTAGCTCATTGTTCTTGACATCTTACTGATGATATTTTCAGCATCCTGATGGTAATTAATTTTTACTTGTAAACTTTGATGTAATGATAGAAATATCTGGTCAAGGTCACAGAACCAAATCAGAGGAAGAACTGGGTATTAAACACAGTTCTCAAGTCCCATTTTAATTCACTATCCTTATTCTCATAGTACCTTATTACTTTTGCTGTTGTCTGATCAGTTCTTATAATAAACAAGGAAAATACTATTAGATGTAATAAAAACTAGACTGGTTGAAAAAGCTAACAAAACCCACCAACTTCTTAACTGAGGTATAGAGTCACATTATCATCAACCAATATTTATTAAGTGCCTTCTTTGTACGTGGCAACAAATTCTAATGAAAAGTCCAAAACTATGAAAGATTCCCATTGTATGTGAATTCCTTTTTGCCTGGTAGTTTAAATATTATCAGGAAAAGTAAAGTTTTAGTTTTTTTTTTACAAGTTTTAAATTTCCAACATCTTTAGGAAAGTAAACATTTCCTTCCCCACTAAAAAAACAAAAACGTCATCACACACCAGATTCAGATGCATTTGTTTAATCCTAGAATACTTAAGAGCAAATAACAAAGCAATTGTTTCATCTGTTCCTCATTGTCTTGGAAAGCTTAAACACTATAGAAAATAAGGTTTTAAAAATAACAAAACAAAACAAAAAAAGAAAATCAGGTTTTATTTTACTGGATTGTAAAATATTTCAGAGTTTCATGTATTTACTAGCAAACCTCTAATATGTGCTTTATTGATGTTTTTTCCCCAGAGTAACATTTTCTGAAAAAGCTGGGGATGTAATTTGCCAGTATGGGGAACAGAATCCCTACAACAAGTCCAAGTGCCTATCTTTAGCCCAGATTATCTACAGTGAATGTGGTCTGCACAAGAAAGCTGTTCTTTGCCTATGTCAACAGGGTCAGATTTATGGAGCCATGGAATATATAAAACAATTCAAAAACTTTTCTTATGGTAAACAGCAAAACACTTCCTCAGCTTTCATTCATGATCTTTATTTTAGGGGTTCTAATTCTAAGACAACAGATGATGTTTTGGATTCAATTTATCAAATGCATTTTAAGTGTACATAATAATTCAAACAAATTGGAATGAAGTTGGAACAAATTTATTTTTGTGATCAGTGAATATTTATTGTGCATAATCAGTATCCATTAATACTACTAATAATACAGCAATAAGTTAGTCTTTTAAGGGCGTAATTAAAAATAAATCTTATTGAATGTGCTTCATCTAATAAAGCAATTCTCTTGACTCCTCATTCTAATGTGGTGGTGATCCTGGGTTCTAGAATGCTATACCCCCAGAGCCCAGACTTTCATAGGGTCGTAGATTTAGAGCTGAAAAGGACTTTAATAGCTATCTAGTACAGCCCTCTCCATTTACAGATAAGGAAACAGACTTGGAGTGGTCATTCAAGGAATTAGTGGCAGAAGCAGGATTTGAATATAGGTCCTGTGACTTCAAAGCCAGAACACTTTGCCTGTACCATGTTTGCTCTCAGGTCCTAGTTGGAGATACTTTTAGTACTTGCTTGGTGATATATTCTTTTGCCTGTTGTTCGAGTCTGTCTTACCTAAGTTTAGACTAGTTCGTTATCAAAAAGCTAGTTGTCACCCAGATTCCCATCTTTTCCTATTGGGTGTGCTTGAATTATTGCATCATAAGATGATAAATTTAGAACCAGAAAGGACCTTAGAGACCATCTAGGCCAACCTCCCTCGTCTCATAGGTGAGGGAATTATTAAGACTGACAAAGCTGAATGACTTTCATAAAGTTATAAAATTGGAATCATTGCAGAGGAACTCAGTGGCCATTTAGTCCAACTCATACACAACAACTCATAACACACTTGACAAGTGATTATCCCCCCATGGCTCCTAGTTTATACCTCTGGGGCCAGGTAACAAGTTTAATTCCTCTTCTACATCATAGCCCTTCAGTTACTTGAAGGCAGTTATCATACATTTTTTTTTCTCTCCCAAGAATTCTTTAGTCTGAGCTAAACATGCCCAGTTTCTTCAACTGATTCCCATACCATGGATTCTTCAAGGCTCTTCACAATGCTAGTTGCCCCCTCTGGATACTCTCCTTTTTGCCTCTGTCCTTTGTAAGCCATGGTGTCTAAAAGTGAGCACAGCACTCCAGATGAGGCTTGACAAAGGCAGTGGGACTGTCACTTCTCTTTTCTGGGAACTCTGACCCTCCTAAAGCCGCCCAAGATTGCATTGGCTTTTCTAACTGCCACATCACACTGAAAACTCATCTTGAGCTTGCTTGAAGATAAACTAAAGCTCTCACATCTTTTTAGGAACAACTGCTGCCTAATCATGCTCTCCTCCTCTTGTATATGAGAAGTTAATTTTTTTGTTCCTAGTGCAAGACTTTACATTTATCCCTACTAAATTTCACCTCCTGGTTTAATAATCCTGACAAAAAAGAAAATGAGGTTAGTCTGGCACGACCAATTCTTTTTTTTTTGTTTGTTTCTTTTGGTAAGGTAATCGGGGTTAAGTGACTTGCTCAGGGTCACAAAGCTAGTAAGTATCAAGTGTCTGAGGTCAAATTTGAACTCAGATCCTCCTGACTCCAATAGCGCTGGAGCGCTATTCACTGCGCCACCTAGCTGCTCCTTAGCATGACCAATTCTTAATGAAGCTACACTAGCTCTTCCTAAACACTGCTTTCTCTTTCTGAATGTTCCCTGTTTCTTTAATGGTCTATTCCAGAATGTTTTCAGCAATTGAAGTCACGTTCACTAGTGTATAGTTTGCAGATTCTATTCTCTTCCCCCTGTAAAATCAACATTTGAACTTCTCTTATATTGTGATACTTCTCTTGTTTTCTATGATATTTTCAAATATCTCTGACAATCGCATTTGCCAGCTCTTTCAGGACCAAGAATTGTTCAATGTAGCCAAATGACGTGAATTCATCAAGGGCAGGTCCCCCCTCACTTAACCTTGAGTGTTAACTCCTGAGAATTGATTTTTGTTTTGCCATTTCCTTTGGGATTGTCATTCTTTGAAGAGAAAACAGAAGCGAAAAATAGTACCTATCTGTTCTCTCTGATATCGATTAGCATTGTCCCATCCACTCAAAGCAAAAGTCATATCCCTTCTCTGAACTCCTTTCTCTCCCAGTATAATTAAAAATGCCTTTTTTGTTGTTGTTCTTAGCCTCCCTTTCTAGCCTCAGAGGCTCATTGTAAGCTTTACTATTCCTCACACTATTTTTACAGGACTGTCTCACAATCTTATTTAATTTTTCTGTATATTTCTTTTTAAAGTCTAAGTTTATTGGCGAATTTTCTACATATCTATATTGGTCACTTTAGTCAAATTCCATTTTTCCTTCTTATTCTAATTATTTCTTTTTGTGTCTTCAGAATTTAATTCTTGAGTATCTCCCATGTTTCCTGTGCTGACTTCCCCTGTAGAATTTTAGTCCATGAGATCCTAGCTATCCAGGATGGAATGATCATTTCCTTCATAAGTTCCTATCATTTTCACTACAATAAGCAGTTCCTTTTTGTTGGTGAGCATGAAATCTAGAATATAATTTCCCTCTTGTTGCTTCATCTGCCTTTTAAAGGATAAAATTATCCCTCAGGCAAGTCAAGAACTTGCTTTTGTTAGAAAGGTGGCTCTAGCAGATGCTAGATAATTGAAGCCCCTCATATATCACACCTCTGTGCAGGGCTTGTGATCTGTTTTCCAAACTTCTCATCTCTCCTCTCTTTCTGTTCAAGTGGTTTGTAGTATAATCCAATGACAAAATCATTTATTTTTCTCCCTCCTTTGACCTTCACCAAAATACTCTCCATCCTGTTTCCCCTTCTAGTTCTTAGATTTCCTCACAGGAGTATATCTTTTATTAATATCTATCTATCTATCTTTCTATCTATCTATCATCCATCTATATATTTTCTCAATTATGTGTAGGAATATATATTCTTAATGTATAAAGCTACCCTGCTCCCTTTTATTTATACTATTTTTTTCGAATAAGATATAAGAGCTGTAATCCAGTGATGGGTTTCATTTCAAGTCTCAGTGATAGCTATGAGGGCAAATTTCCCTCTTGTTTTAAGACCTTTATTTCCTCTTGTTGGCTTAAATTTTATGCATTGTACATCAATTAACCACTAAACGTTTTTAATTGCCTGTTGTGTGCCAGACACAGTGCTAAGCACTAGGGATACAAAAAGAGGCAAAAGATGGTCCCTGTCCTTAAGGAGCTTATAATCTAATGGGGGAAACAACATACAAACAAATGTATGCAAAGCAAATGATGCAAGATAAATAGGAAATAATTAACAGAGAGAAGGGACAAGAATTAAGAGGCATTGGGGAAAGTTTCTAGTAAAAGATGAGATTTTAATTGGGACTTAAAAGAAACCTGGGATGTCAGTAGACAGAGCTAAAAATGGAGTGTCTTATTTTTTTGTTGTTGTTGAGGCAGTCGGGGTTAAGTGATTTGCCCAGGGTCATACAGCTAAATGTCAAGTATCTGAGGCTGGATTTGAACTCAGGTTCTCCTGACTCCAGGGCTGGTGCTCTATCCACTTCGCCACCTAGCTACCTCAAGTGTTTTGTTCATGAAACATCCTGGAAGCCAGGATTGAGATATTTCAGGGGGGCTTTAAGGTGTAAGAAGACTAGAAAGGTAGAAGGGGGCTTGTCTGTGAAGGGCTTTGAATGCCAAACAGAGCATTTTGTATTTGATCCTACAGCCCAATAGGGAGCCACTGGAGTTTATTTGTGTGTGTGTGTGTGTGTGTGTGTGTGTGTGTGTGTGTGTGTGTGTGTGTCTGTGAGAGAGAGAGAGAGAGAGAGAGAGAGAGAGAGAGATGGTAAGACCTCTGCTTTAGGAAAATCACTTTAGTGGATGAATGGAGGGTGAATTGGAGTGGGGAACGACTTGAGTCAGGCAGACCCACCAGCAAGTTATTGTGATAATCGAGGCATGTGTCAGAGGAGAGAAGAGGACATATTTGAGAAATGTTGCAAAGGTGAAATCAACAGCCTTTGGCAGCAGATTGGATATGAGGGTGCCATGAGAAAGTGTGAGGAGTCCAGGATTAGTCCTGGGTTGTGAGCCTGAAGGATGGGGAGGATGGTGTTGCCCTCTGCAGTAATAGGGAAGGTAGGAATCAGGGGGGATTTAGGGATGAAGATAATGAGTTCAGTTTTGAACATGTTGAATTTAAGATGACTACTGAACATCCAGTTTGAAATGTCTGAAAGGCAATTGGAGATGTGAGATTGGAAGTCAGCAGAGAGTTTGGGGAAGGATAGGTGGATTTGGGAATCATTAACATAGAGATGAAAATCCTTGGAAACTGATGAGATCACCAGGTGAGAAGTAAGTAGTCTCCTCCAGCAGAGAAGACAGACAATGAGTGGTCAGATAGGTATGATGAGAGCCAGGAGGGAGTGATGTTCTGAAAATTAAGAGAGAACAGAGTATCAAGGAGGAGAGAATAATCAACAATGTCAGAGGCTGCCGAAAGGTCAAGGAGAATGAGGAATGAGAAAAGATACATAGGCCTTTGAGGCTATGGGTTTTGTTACAAGCTAGATTTTGTCTCCAGTGAGTCTCTACTGCTAGTCTTCATTCTTTTTTGTGGTTACTCTCTATAGTATCTGACTTACAGAATATACATAAATAGTCTTTTCTCCTTCCCTCCTTCCATCCTTTATAGTTTAAAGCACTTTTAATTAGATGAGCAAAACACCCGGCAAATATATTCTTTCCAGCCTTTGTTAGGTATATTCCATTTCTGGCCAGGAATTTGTCAATCCTGTATTGTAAGCTGGGATCCAGAAATCGAAATCCCATTCCCTGGCATTTATTATCCAGTTATTCATTTCCCAAATTAATTTTTTCTACCGTATCCCTTGCCTTCATTGGCCACTAGTGAGGAAAATGTAACTTGTGCCTCATGGTCTTCAGTTTCTTGTCCATGACTTCATAATCATTGAAAATACATTTTTAGATTCGTTCTAGAGGTATCATTTGTATACGCATGGATCCCCAGAAGTAGGGGGTGTCATCCGTTTTGATAAGACTTGTAAGCTTCTGTTATGGCTTGAATACATGCTCCAGGAAGACAACAGACTTCTTGACTGTTAACTATCAGGTCAACAGATAGCTACCTCAGTACCCCCGAATAGGAAATCACCAGCTGCTGCTGCTATGACTACTCCTACTACTCTACTACTACCATTATTGTTCCACTTCTCTTCCTCTGCCCTTCAGCAGATAATCTGTCAATCACTTGTGAGACTACTGTATCAATCTTGGGAGGACAAAATAAAAGATCTACACAGAATTTATGGACAAGCACATTTTTTCCTCTTCATTGCATCCTTAATTATGTTTCCTTTAGAAACCCTTCATTTTCCCTAATAATTAGGAGTGTAGAGAGGTATTCTTCAACTCCCTTCACATTTTCATCAAGGAGGGAAATTAACACTTGGAGCACAGATGCTTGGCTGTGACAGAAATACAAACAAGACACACAATTGTGTTGTCACTGCGCAATTTCCCCTACTTACATAATAGTTTAGCTTTTCCAGTTTATTATTTGGAACTGCTTGTGGATGTTTATACCTCAACCATTCTTGGTCAAATCTTTTTTACAATCTCATTCAAATTCCTTACCTTTGCACCACCAACTCCATAGCCATTGCCATACTCACCTTTAGCTTTGCACCTACTTCTAGTCCTTTTCACCAATTTTACCAGTTTTCCTCACCCACCTCTCTTACCAATTTGCTTAACTCTCTAATTGTTCCACTTACCTTTTTTTACTTACTTTGCTTATCTGGCCAGGTACCTTTTCCTTCTCCTTTTTTTTTCTTTTTCTTTTTTTTTGGCTAGGCAATGGGGTTAAATAACTTGCCCAGGGTCACACAGCTAGTAAGTGTCAAGTGTCTGAGGCTGGATTTGAACTCAGGTCCTCCTGAAGCCAGGACCAATACTCTATCTACTGCGCCACCTCACTGCCCCCTCCTTCTCCTTCTTGAATCTACCTCTGAAGGTTCATTTCTTCAGTCATCCTTTGTTCCCCTTAATCCCCCTTCATCCTTTTATATCCTCCTTAATTGTCCTTGGCCCTGTTTCTTTTACAACTCAGAAGTAGAATCTAGACCAATATCTAGACTAGAGAGATTGTTCTTCGTATTTTCCTCAATTTCTCCCAAATTTTGACATCTGACTTTTTTCACTAATCCAAACCTATCCAATTTACCTGTACAATTTTCTTAATTTGCTCAAGTCCTTTCTTTTCCTGTTCCTTATCCAACAACCTTCTACAAAAATTGGAAGTAGACTTGCTCAGGGTAAGTAACACAGTAGTAAGTGTTAGAGGTAGGATTTGAGTCTAGGTCTTTTGATTCGAAGTCCAGCATTTCATTTGCCACATTGCCTCTCAACACTGATGAGCTTTGCAAAGGTTCCTGGGACATAAGTTCTCAAACAGAATATGACTAATGTTCTTTTGAATTCCCAAAGAGAATGTGAGGGTGAGCTCCCCCACCTCTTAAAATTAGAAAACATTGGCCTAACAATTCATACACAAAAAGTTAAATGAATGAGAAATGTCTATTAGCTACTGAATTTGTACATAAATCTGTATCAAGCACTGAATATAGACAATGATTAGGTCCAGAATTGAATAGGAGGAAGAGAGCAGACTGGTTCGCAACTGAGAAATTGCAATACTTTCAATGATCTCAATCCCACTTATAGTTGCAAAGACCCATATTTTTAACCCATTTCCCCCCAGCAAAGTTTTACAATTAAACATTTTAGAACATCATAATGGCAAGGAACCTCACAGTCAATAGAGAAATACATAGAAAGTTAGCCTTTCAAAAAACATTTATTAAGCTCTTCCTATGTATTAGGCACTCTGGTAAGCACTAGGGATACAAAGAAAGGCAAAGACAACAGTCCCTGCCCTCAAGGAGCTCATATTCCAGTGGAGACAACATGTAGATAATTAGGTACATATAAAATACATACGGAGCAGAGAAAGGTGATCTCAGAGGGGCTGCTAAGAAGACTAGAAAAGGTGTCATGCAGAAGGTGGGATTTGACATGGTAGATGCAAGTTAGCTATAGCATATTTTTATATGTACACAAGAACTAGTATAGGAAATATTGTGGAAGAAATATATAACAAGTAAACTAATTGTGTTGGTTATGCAGCAAGAACAAGGGGTAACAGCCTGAGGCATCTGCTGTTGTCCACAAAATGTAAAAAGTCTTAGAAAAAGACCTCTAGCATTTTGGGTGGATCATCTGTGAAGGATATATGGATGGACATGATCAAAAATTTTACCTGATTAGAAGTCATGAATGGGTTGCAATCTGCACTGATAGAGGAAATATCCATATCAGTGAAATCATAAATGATTTGAAGTATTGAGGCAGATTACAAATGAAATTAACTATATTGAAATACAGTTACCGAAAAACAACTTCATGGATCCTAGCTTAAGAACAGCTGTTAAAATGGAAAGAACACAAGACTTGGAGCCTGAAGATAACTGTTTTTAAGGCATGCATGGAAACAACTTATGACAATTTATGACTAATTGTGTGACCATGAAAAAATTACTGAACCTCACTAGTCTCAGTTTCCTTATCTTCTGAATGGAAATAATATCTGTGAAACCCACCAAAAAATAATAGTTAGCATTTCACAAATAGGAGGATGAGAATCCAGTTTGCCTGACTTCTTGTCCAGGGCTCTTTCTAGTTACATTGCATTGGCAGTCATGATAATTATTTTAACTAAAAATCTTCTCTATTTCTAAATATGACCTATAGCGAGAGTTTTTATTTTTTATAATACTGGTAGTAATTTCATGTCTAGAATGGTTTGAGAAGAAGATAGTAAACGTTGAAGTTTGAGGCCAGACAAGAATGGGGATATACCCTGAGGGAGAGTGATAGAGAGAGGATATGCCAAGAAGGAGAGGCCAGCATATCATAGTAATGTTTTCTTTTCTATCTTTTTTGGTCTTGTCCTAATGTTCTTCTCAATCATTATATCTAATAATTGAGGAACAAATAACAAGATATTAGCACTGTACAGAACATAGAAAAGACTGAATATATCTGCTAAGAATGCATTTCTTGTATGCTATCTTTGTAATATTTAAATCTTTAAAACCATAGATTTCTGTGTTGTTTACTACATTATTATGTGTGGATACCATTTTTTATTTTTACTTTCAGATGACCTTATGGACATAGTAATAATATGTCCACAAATTGAATTAATTAATTGTCTTACTAGTGAATGGAAGGGGGAACCACCACTTTTGTCTTTTTGTCTTATTGTACTTCATTTCTTCTCCACTGGAATGAAAAATTCTGGCTTAAGTCTGCTTCAAGAACTAGATAAAAATGAGAAGGGTAAGTTTAGCAAAATGTTCTTAATGAAGGAATGGTGGGAGTTATTCAGAGAAAATAAAGTTACTGGTCATAAGTTCATTATCGGCTTTGTAAAGAATCAAGACTCTTAAAATGTTAGTTAACATAGACCTGCACCACTTATAACCTCTGTTGATAAGATTTAACTTGTAAAAACTTTAAATGAAGAGGTTGCCATCTCAGTGACTTTAACTAGATCTGACACACATTTTCTTAGGGAAGTCATCAGAGAAGTAAGATGAAATTAGAAACTTTAGCAAGCATAAGGCAGAAGAAAAGGACGTAAATATATACATTCATCATTTCCATGGTGTTATTTCTGTTCTACCATATAAGCAACATATTCTTCCCATTGTGGTCCCTGTGCTTTTGAGAACAGTGTAAAGAAAATCCAGAAAGGAGAGAGTATATGAAAGGAAAGGATAGTTAAATGCTTCAGAGAAGTTGAGAATGTTGAGTTCTAAGAGAAGACCAAGAGAGCAGTGTCACTTGAGGGATGCTGTCAGATTCCAGACTGCAGAAGATTTAGAAGACAGTGGGAGGAGAGGAAGTGGAGGCACCGAATGTAAATGTTTTTCCTCCCAGAGAGTTTAACTGAGAAAGGAAGAAGAGATAGGATGCTATGTAATGGGAATTCTAGGATTTACTAAGGGTTTTTTTTTTTGTTGTTGTTGTTGTTTTGTTTTGTTTTGTTTTGTGTTCGGATGAAAGATACTTGGGTGTGTTTGTAGATAGCAGGAAAGGAACCAGTAGACGGAGTAATAATGAAGATTAGAAATTTTTGGCAACAATATTTATGGTTGATTTTTCTACCTTGAAATTACTGTTCTTTGTACATGCACAGAGGTGTTGGGTATAGAAAGAACATTTTAGTAGAATGGATTTTTAAAGAATAGTAGTATTCTACTACCTGTATAAAGGCAGTGCTGCAAGAAGCAAAACATGATGTATTTGGTGGTTCAAGAGAGAAGAACCCCTCAAATACTCTGATATTACATGTTGCCAGGAGAATTTAATTTTCACAATTAAAGTACATCATTAGCATCTCTAACAAGTGAAATTCTTTTGTGTTTGTTTCTTTTAGAAAAAAATAATTTAGAAAGCCCCATCATTCTATTCAGAGTTAGGATTATTAGTTTAAAGAAATATTTCTCAAATTAAGGGCTATGGATATGCTGAAAATAGAACTATAGGGTTCCGGAAAGCTATTTGGTACTAATGGTGGCAAACTGCAGGCAACATGAAATAAAGTGAGTCTGGATATTCCCCTTGTGGACCTAAAGAACTACTGCCAATCCAGTGAGGGCAGGGAGTAGAATAGAATAGAATTTTTAAAATAAGTGCAAGTGATACTGAATAAAGGACGGATACTATAAACTACTGTTGTTGGTGTTTGTTTTTTTCCCCTCTCAGAGGCAACAGAAAAACTTATGACATCTGATCGATTTTGTTCCTTAGAGGACTGGCAAGAACTGGCGGATGTGTGTATCCATAACGGCTTTTGCAGATTGTCCAAAGACATCATTTCCATCCTTAGATGTCAGGAAGGAGTATCCGAAATTCCTCCAGATGGAGAATTCAACATAATGGAACATGTTTTTTGGTAGTTCCACCTCTTGAACAACTGAGGGAGCTCTAAAAATATTTTATGTGTTCTAGTTGAGAAAAACAGCCTAAGTATTAGTAACTTTGAATAAATACAAATTGTTTATTCCCCAGAAACAAATTAGTCCTTTATTGTGGCATTGGAATCTACATAGCGTTTTATATAGAAATGCTTTGCTTCCCATTCATATGGGAAGCAAACATTGTTTAATGTTTTTATTCTATTCTTTTTCACACATGCACACACACATAGAACCATATCAGGGTTGTCTGTCTGGGTTTATAGACTCGGACAGGCCAGGATTATGTGTATACATCTCTTTTTGTCAATGCCTAACATAGTGCCATGTACAATTTTATACTTTTATATTATAATGGTAGAATTTTTATCATTAGAGCTAGTAGGAAGCTTGGAGAACTCTTCAAGCCACTGACAACAGTTTGCTCTGCATGTTTCATGTTATTATGTCATGTAAACTTTATCTAGTATAAACTAACATTTAAATGCTGCTTTGCTAGACAGAAAGGTATGGTTTAGGTGGTAGAGGTACATCTTAGGAATGGAATTTAAAATAAGTAAACAGAGTCTTCAGGAACTGGTGAGTGTGAATGAATATATTTTTCTCACTATGGAATTCTTCAGGTATACTGTTGCAGGTTTCCAGATTGATTTTATTGAAAATGAGAAACTTACTTATGGTATTTACTGCTGAATTTTTCTCTTACCCATAATGTTGCTCACATTAGAGTTCTGTCAGAGAATAAGTTTATGGGCAGAGCTCTTTGTTATATGAGATTGTTGAAGTTTGTAGTTTTGGTGTTAAAAATATCTTTTTATTAAATTAAAGATGTACCTCCTAACTACATATTAATAGGGATTAGACTTACTTTTTGTGATCCCAGAGGTCAGAACTAGGATCAATAAATAATTTTTCAATGAGGTAGATTGGTCTCAGCATAGGAAAATAAGAGTGGTTCAGTGGAATGAGCTAGCTAGGTAAGGAGTTCCATGTAATTTATTTCTAAGTGCTATGGATTTTTTTAAAAGTTTTTTTTTTTTAAATGAAAACTTCACTTCAAGAAATAAGGAATGTCTCAACCTCTACTTGGATGGACTATGATATGAGAATCATTGGGTATGATTGTTAAACTTGAAACTTATTTTAGGGTTTAACTAAGAGAAGAGCTCCAAAAAACTGATTCTTATAAAGTCCACAAATAAGTGTTTAAAGATTTTAAAATTAGGAAATTTCAGTTAAGAACAAGATAACTTTCACTGTGAAGTAATAATAAAGATGATGATGATAATAAGATGCAGTTCTTCCTATAGTATGTCAATTTAATGATCATTAGACACTTCATGCTTAGGGTATCAACAGTTAGGTTAATGTCTATAGATATTTAAAAAAACTTTGTGATTCTTAGCATCCTCAGTGAGGGATTTAAGAACATCTTAGGAAATCTGTCTCTAGCCGGTATCATAAAAATATGCAACTACATGAAGAATGTTTTGTATGTTGATGATCTTAAGGATTTTATTAGAAGGTCTAGAGTACCTTCTCAACTTCTTATGACCTATTTAAGCTTACTCATTCTTCAAATCCCTTTTCAAATACCTTTTTGGTGAATCCTACCACAATCACGCTGGCCAGCTCACACTTATCTCTTTCAAGTATAAGTACTTATACTTATATCCTGATCAATGACCACTATATAAATAGAACAAAACTATCTCCAAGTTGTATGGTTAAAACTACCATTCAAGTCAAAAGTTATTATCTTTGTGAAAATAGTTTGATATGGGAAATTATCTCAATCATTTATAAGCCTTTGTTTATTAACAGTTTATTGCTAACAGCTTTAGTGTGATAACCTGGGGAGGAATGTTGTTCCTACCCAATCAGTGAAGAGTCCAGTTTTTATGATCTTTTGAGTTGGATTAATACCTTTCACAAAAATGAATTAACACCTTTCACCCCCTTCTTGGGCCTCCTGCCTTCCCCAGTATAGGATTCATTTTACTCAAAGGATCAAACCAGGCTTCAACACTTACTTTTCTGGGATCATTACTGCCACTTTCACCTAACCATTGTTTCTTCTAGACCTACCACAATTCAATGTAGGTAGCCCTTTTGTAGTAAACAAATTCAATTCAGGCCCCCTCCCCCACTCGTTTGTAGGTGTGTCTTTTTGAAATATTTCCCCTTTTTTCCTTATAGTGGTTATTCTCTCTCTCTCTCCACCTCAATCTCCCCCCCTTTCTCCCTCCCACCCTTCCCCCTTCTCTCTCTTTCATTCATATTCTCCCCTCCTCCCCATCCCCACTGACTTTCAAGCAAGGAAGATGAAACAATATTAGAAATGGAACAGACTAGGCTATGACCTTGAGAGATTTTTAAAAGGTCAGAAGAGCCACTGGTCCGGTGACATGAGTCCACAGCAGAGGTTGCAATAGCTGTAGCCCCTTGAGCCCAGTCCTTGGGCCTGTAGAATCCTGGGGCATGACCTGATTGGCTCAGTCTGGCAATGAATGGACCTGGCCACTAAGACACCATGCCAAACAAACAAGAGAGCAAGTTGTCCCCTAACTATGTTGCACCCTTGTGGAAGGTGTGTTTCCTAGCAGCCATTTTAAGTTTGAGCCCACTCTCCACAGGCACTGAAGGGTAGAGGAGAGAGTGTGTCTTGGTTTAAGGTGATATTTTTGTACTTTGGGGCTGCTATATCTTTTCAGTAAACATCGCAGTATAAAAGCTAATTGATGTTAATGGCCTAATTTATATCGAGGAAAAGGTAAACAGTCAAAATGACATTAGGGTACTAATCACTAGTTAGGTGATATTGAGAAGTTACTAACTAGATGATTAATATTGGAAGAGGGAACATATTGGATGGGCTTATGTTTGACAGTGCTAAAGAAAGACATCCTCTCCCTCACCCTTCAGGGTTTACCCGTACAACCCTTTGGAGAGGCATGAGCTCTGAGGATTGAGGATCTGACCCACAAGTGCTAATGAGGGTGAGTCCAGAGCTTTGAATCACTACAGATGTAATTACTGATTTATGAAACAAAATGCTGTGGGAAGGTCTTAACTGATTTGAGGCAGATAGGTCGCACAGTGGATAGAGCTGTAGCTCTGGAATCAGGAAGACCTGCATTCAAATTTGACCTGAGACATTTACTAGCTGTGTGACCCTGGGCAAGTCACTTAACATCTGTTTGCCTCAGTCTCCTCAACTGTAAAGTGGGGATGATATCACACTGCTTCCCAGGGTGGTTGTGAAGATCTAATGAAATAATATTTATATAATGCTTTGCACAGTGCCCGGTACATCATAGGTGCTTTAATAAATGCTTATTCCATTCTCTCATAGGTATTGGGGAAGGCTTAATTAAGAAAGTGGAAATTAAAATCCTTTGAAGGATGTGTAGGGCGGCGTGAAGAACAAAGACATGGTAAAGCAAAAGAGAATAGGTTGTGTTTAGAGTGTAGAGTATTCAGATTTGGCTGACTGAATAGAGGAGATCCAGACCCAAAGGTTGGTCATTAGTGGCTTGATATCATCTTGTGAAGAGGTCTTTGGTAGAGGGCACTAGGGTCCTGTCCTTGACTGGGCTATTAAAACATCTTTTTTTTTTCAATGACTTGGATAAAGGTATAGATGTAATGCTTATGAGATGTACAGATAACCTAAAGCCAGAAAGGATAACTAGGAGGAACACAGGACTGGACAACAGTTCATCTGAAAAAGGTCTATGGGTTTTAGTAGGAGACAAATTCAATATGAATTCATGGTGTGATATGGCAGCCCAATAATGCTAATATGATTTGCAACTACATTAAGAGAAGCACAGAATTCAAGACTAGAGATGTCAGAATCCCACTGTCCTCTGCTATGGTCAGGCCAGACCTTATCTGGAGTTCATGTTCATTTCAGAATGCTACATTTTAGGAAGGCCACTAATAAGCTGGAAAGTGTTCAGAGGAGGACAACAGGGATTGAGAAGGGACTTGAGATTATAATATATGAGAACTAGTGGAAGGATGCAGGGAAGCCTAGAAAAGGTCCATTAAAACTATTTAGCCTTCAAAAGAGGAGACTGGGGTAGGAGTGGGAGGAGGCACACATGAGAGCTGTCTTCCAGTATTTTGAACCATGGATCATATCATGGTTTAGAGTGAAAAGGGCGTTCGAGATCATCTTGTCCAATCCTTTCACTTTATAAATAAAAACAACTGAGGTCCCAAGCTGTTCAGGAATTTGCCACGTGGCTGTATTGTATAAAGAGGGATTAGACTTGTTCTGCTGGTCTGCAGAGGGTAGAACTAGGAGCAATAGGTAGAAAGTAAGAAAGAGCTGGATTTTGGTTTAATGAAGGAAAAGTTCCTTGACAATTAGAGCTGACCAAAATGGCCTGAAGAACCTGCCTCAGGAAGGAAGGGGTTCTCCCTACCTGTTCAACGACAGAGTGGCCTATGTGGCCTCTGAAGTCCCTTCAGATTCAGCAAAATGACCCAAAGCTGGAAAGGTAGGGCAATGCCATCTTGTAGACAGCTTGGTAATAAGAGGTTTGATAAATGCTAGTTGATTGACTGCATGTCTGACGAGAGTATGAACTTTACTCGTTAGCCATTAGGGAACTACTTTACATTTTCAGCTGTAATAATGATAGTAGCAGATAGCATTTACATAACATTTTAAGATTTGCAAAGCACTTCACATATATCATCTCATTTGATACAACAATCCTGGGAGGTGAATATTATCTGTTATCCATATTATACTGATGAGGAAACTGAGTCAGACACAGGTTAAGAAATAGTAATAATAACTAATATTTACATAGCACTTACTATGCGACACATGTTTTTGCTAAACATTTTACAATTGTTGTCTTATTTGATCCTCCTAACAACCCTGGAAGGAAGGTGCTATTATTATCCACATTTTACATATAAGGAAACTGATGCAAGTAGCGACTGAGTGACTTGCACAGGATCACATAGTAAACATCTGAGGCAGGATTTGAACTCAGGCCTTCCTGACTGCTGGTCTAGCATTCTATCCACTACACCATCTTAGCTGCCACTAGTTGACTATGACTG